ACGCCGACCAGAACTAACCAATAGCATTAGACTGGTGCTTAGATGCTTCAAATTTAAGGAGAACCTCGGCTGATGCAGAGTTGATGAACTTTAAACAGACAAGAAAGTCTTTAAAATATAAATGTATGAAAACACAACATGACATGAGAATAATACTTGTAAAACTGCATGTTTTAGCTCTGTTTGTTGAATACAGAATCACATTTATAAACAAGAAATGTGAAGTCGCCATCTTAAAAAAAAACAAAGCAACACACTTTTTGTGTTACATGCTTTTCAGCCACTAGATGGTGCCATCGGATAAGCGAAATACTCTGGAAAGAGGCTTTAAACTCACAGTCAGAAAGTATTATTTAGCTTTAAAAATGGACTGCAGTAACCACAGTTGACCACAGTCATTCTTACAAATTACACCTTTAAAGTTACATGTAAAATTATAATGTTTCTAGAAACATTTTCGCTTTAGCAAAGCATCAATTAATATTTAAATGGTCTCTGAGCTGACTTCCTCCAGTGTTTTTGTTCTGACTCTGGTGTTTGTCTTTACATATTCCCTTGAAGTGGTGAGTGAAAACTCCCATAAGCAACTGGAGACTAAACTTCAATGAGAATTTTATGCAGAATCTCTGATTGATAAAGCTGCCCGTTTGCATTGTCTGCTGGGCTCCACTGGGGGTATTGGTGTCTGTAGCCATTGTGTTTATTCTTCTCCTCGATGAATGGACTCAATTAATTGCCACGAGGCTGAAGAAAAAGTCATGGTTTGTGGTAATCTGTGACACACACTGTGCTGCATACTAAACAAGCACTAAGACAATTACTCTAAATTCACACTAATGAGAGGAGTAATAGAGGGTGGAAAACTTCTTATTTTCAGCTCTCATTTCTGTAAATTGTGTTAAAGACAGTTTGACATTATGAGTAAAAAAGAAATAGCCTTTTGTTAATGATGAGTGTCGCTGACTTTCAGGTATTCATGCCTGATTTTTAAGCCTGTGAAAACCTATTTATCTAGGAGATTATCATGCAGTTGGAAATGCCAATAAAACACCATGTCGAGGATTTACTTTAGCCAGGAGCATATGTACCTGTGTATATCTGACTCTTAAATGTGCAATGCTGATACCCATGTGTACAGATTTTGCGATAAGTGTTCATGACAAGACAGTTAATTTCCCCTTGGGCTGCGCTGGTTGCCCTCACGCGGGAGTTCATCACTAGCAGATGGGAGGTAATTGGAATGGATGCATGCAGATGCTACAACACAATTGGATGGATTCATCACATCAGGCCTATATAGGAATTGATGGAGGGACTGTTTGTTTGTAAGGTAATTAGGCAGAAATTTGTTTTCATTTTTCTCATCATCCAGCAATTGAAGTAAAAGAGGTAGTCCAACCTCTGGAGAAAAGGGAAGGTTGGCCAGCTGATTAGTCATTGTGTGTGTGTGTGTGTGTGTGTGTGTGTGTGTGTGTGTGTGTGTGTGTGTGTGTGTGTGTGTGTGTGTGTGTGTGTGTGTGTGTGTGTGTGTGTGTGTGTGTGTGTGTGTGTGTGTGTGTGTGTGTGTGTGTGTGTGTGTGTGTGTGTGTGTAAGGGAGTGAAGATGTGCACACAATGCTAGAGCCCTAAAGGAAATGGATTGTTATGTAGCAACGAGGTGTGATGGGACTTGTGTTTATGTGTCCAGCGTGATCAGTTTGTTTTAGGCGTTATGCCTTTCAGATGATAAGATTGTTGTGATATCACACACACACACACACACACACACACACACACACACACACACACACACACACACACACACACACACACACACACACACACACACACACAATGTGACATAAATACCACACAATACTTGTGAAAACACATCTTCCACCACCCCCGGTCCTAAGCCCTGCCATTCTGAGATAGTTCACATCATGACTAGATTAAAAGTAGACGCTTTGATGAGGCTTGCTGTCCGTTTCATATGGAACTGGCATGGATAAGAGATTCTGGAATCAACATGGCAACATTTCAATATCAGAGGAAACATAAAAAATAAACCCTCCTTAATGCATCCTTTCTGTTGCCAAGGACACTGCAAAAATATATTTCTAAAATCATTCTTTTCTATGAACAAAGTCTTGCTTTAAAGGCTAAAAAACTGTTTTCAACTCAAGCTGCTGAAGGGAGGCTATCTAGCACTTCACCAAAACCTAGATATTTTGCCAACACTTTATTTTTTTATAGCCAGCAAGCATGTTGCTTCAGGTTTGTACACAACACTTTTTTTGTCTGAGCTTTTAAAACTACGATGAATAAATTATACTCTGCTTTTTGAAGCTCACTGGAGCAGATGGTTCCGTTAATGGAGACGGACCTTTAGCAACTTTCATTAGAAAGGCTCTTAAAAGAAGAAGAGAACAATGTTAGTCACAGTTAAAGCAACATAGTGTCACATCATCCATCATTCACTGACGGCACAATATAAACTGTGCAGAGCCACAAGCGGGGGAGACAAAACACCCTGACAGTGTTGTCGCCGCTTGCTGTCACTAAAGAGTGGGACGCAAAGACTTAAGGCTGATTTATGCTTCTCCGTCTGCGTCAGTGCGGAGACACGCAACGCCATTATCCATCCTTGCATAGGGCCCGGCAGGCACGCAAGTACGTACGGAGTCGAGCCCACTTTTTAAACATCCATCGAACGAGACGGAGAATGCAAGCTTGTGATTGGTCAGGTCACCGCTGTCGTCCACACCGCCGCCATTGCGCCCTCAAAAACATAAAGAGAGACGAGAATAACTAGCGGCAGACATGGAGAAGCTTGAAGAATACCTCACGAAAAAACTCTAAAATATGAACGTTTAATTCCCCCGTGACTGGATGAACAAGCGTTTTATTTGTGGACGGAAATGACAGGAAACGTGGGTTTAGAGGTGGCAAGAGGTGAAGGAGAATGAGAGACACATTTGTCTGTGTTTATTGTGCTTACATACAAAAAACACAATATAAACACACTATCTTGAACAGGATACATGACAGGATACTACAGAACAGCGCTACGCCCTCTGTTGTGCTGCCGGGAAATTGCTTTGCAACACTCTCCAGGAGACGGAGAAGCATGAGGGAAAAAGGTCTCCGTCAATCCGTGCGTGTCTGTCCCTTGCGTAGCTGACGGAGAAGCATGAATCAGCCTTTACAGTGGGATGGGGTTTTTTTTTTGGGGGGGGGGCAAGAAGGACTAGCTAACTCATAAATGTTTCAAATATTTCAGTACCAGCCATCTTTGGATTCATGGGTATGTTGGTGAGGTCGCATCTGTGGAAAAAAATAAAAATCTCTGCTTGTCTGGGAAGTCTTGCCTATTTAAAGCCTTCTGTGCAGAGTGATACAAGTGCTGAGGCAGCTAGTTCCCATCTATACATGCTCTAACACACACACGCACACACACACACACACACACACACACACACACACACACACACACACACACACACACACACACACACACACACACACACACACACACACACACACACACACACACACACACACACACACACACACTTCACTCTCATTCATCCTGGTGCTGCCTGTGTTCTATGGATCAAAGTGCCTTGATATTATTCATAAAACCAGGCGGCATCTGTGTTCCTCTTTAAACAGAAGACCTCTCTTCATACAAGCAGATTCAACAGGAACATGAAAGACAGATGAAGAGAGTATCTGGTTTTGATGTTATTTAGTTTATTTTGTTTTGCTGCCAATCCAGTTTTATTTAAAAGAAAAATATGGATCACTTCTAAAAGTGGATGACCTGTTAGGGCTGCATGTTTATGGAGAATGAAAAATCACAACCGTGATCTTACCAGTCAAAATCAAAGATTTAGGAATCTTTCATTTGACCTAAAAAGTGTTTCTTTTTTCTTGTTAAATAAAAAAAATGTAACAATACATTTATACTACTAAAATGTGCCTACATTTAACAAATGTACGAATACAGCATGATTAAATAATTCGACACAACTTTCATTCTTCATTTGTTCTTTTTTCATCATTATATTGTTGATAATGACTTAAATTTTTCATTCAAAGTTCACGTGGTAATTTAGCGCTGACACGTGAATAAAACATGTTATCTAGTCCTGCACACAGCAGTAGCTCAGGAGGTAGAGCGGGTTGCTTCATGATTGGAGGGTAATTTGCTCCAGGGGTGTTCTGCTGTTGTGTCGTTGGGCAAGACACTTCACCTGACTTGCCTGTGTTGGTGGTGGTCAGAGAAGCCAATGGTGCAAAATGGCAGCCTCGCCTCTTTCAGACCTCCCCAGGGCAGCTGTGGCTGTATAGCAGCTTACCATCACCGATCGTGTGTGAATGTGAGAGTGCATGAATAATGGAAAATGCTTTGAGTGTCTTGAAAAGCGCTGTATAAATCCAAAACATTTTTATTAAAACAACCTCTTATTCATTGAAATAGTTGTTTTAAAAATTATCAAGTTTATAAATTATAAAACTAGATCACATCCAGACACATACACATTCAGTATCTTTCCATCATTATCCCACATTCCTGCCTGATTTTCAGCATTGTTTGGAATCATTGAGCCGTGGGTGGAAGTGCACATCAAAATAAAATAAAAACACAGTTGTAAAACTGAATGATAACCATTGTTTTTTTTTTCATTACATGATTTTAGTAAGAATTTTAGAGCCCTAATAGTAATTGACATAAAAAAATGTTATTTATTGCTAAAAATTATGACTTATTAAAGCATACATGTTGATGATTTTCTAAGCATAATTTGTTGCTTCCTTCAGATTCAGCTTTTCTCTAGAATGCCCCTCCACTGAGTAAATATTAAGGATACACCTACTAGTGTAGTTGAACTTATGCTAGAAAAACTTTGGTGATTATCTATCAAACCACTCATCAAACATTCATCTGTTTAGCACAACTGTATTCATTCATATCCATGCATATGCTACAGGTTTGAGCATATTTGTCTGCTTACCTATAAGGATGAGCATGCAGACCAGCAGAGCTATGAGAGCCCCGGGGCTCAGAGCCGCACTCATTACGTAGGCTGTTGCATTGCACGACTGGATGGTTCCCTCTGCGTAAAGAAAGAAGAAAATTAGCATTTTCTCTACTCTTCTCTTTCACGCTGGCAAATCAGTCCTCATCAAAGTTGAAACCGTTGTTTTTAACCATGCATATTTGACCAACCCGAAACTTCTCTTAAAAAAGGGAAAATTTCATGTCCTTATGTTGTTTTGCCTCCCGTAAAGATGGGCTCATAAAAAGTGTTTGCCGAGCAAAGCTATGACACATTGACCTTTTAGCACTGCAGCTGCTGATACAGAAGGTGACAGTGATGTTAATGTCAGCAGCTCTCACCTGTGTCACAACCGCAGACGTGGATGGTCAGGGTGCCCGTTGAGCTGAGCGAGGGAGGTCCACTGTCGACCACAAGAATGGGCAGGAAGTAGACATTCTGTTCGTGGCGGTTAAATCCTGACCTCTGGGTGCGGATGCCAGCTGTGTTGTCTTGGTGTGCGGTGTGATGTGTTTTGGGGCACATTGGCATGAGAGAGACAAGATAGAGAGCATAAATAAACATGGATGACTACGCGGTTGAAAAACAAAACCCTTTTGTTCTCACTGATGATGGGTTTTTACCAGAAAGTAGAAGACTTTAAAACTCAAACTAATACTTTTTTTCTTATATCTGTTTTATTGGTTTGAAACTTTAAAGAGGAGACATTATTATATATATTTTTTAAGTTAAAACAGTTTTATGGTCGATACAAAACATGTTTATAAAGTTATTTGCACTAAATTCCTCTCACCTGAAGTAATTTCAGCATTTTTATTCTTTCTAGTTTCAGTACCTTCCAGAATGAGCCGTTTCAGGGCTCTGTCACTTTAAGAAAACAAGCTGGAGCTGGCAACGGCCACCCCTCTGCCCACTCAGGCTGCTATAAGCTGAGAAGCTTTGATTTCTGTGAGGGGCTCTGAGCCGTTGCTCCTCCAGCAGCAGCCCTCTCTTGCTCATGAGTGGTGGTTCTAATCTAGCTTCCTCATTTGTGACATCACAAACCGAAACTTTTTGTAATGGCTTGTTTTAGGCACATAAAGAGCACTGACAGAAAATTAATGGATGGGATTAATTTCAATGTTTGGAGTGGTTATAAAGACCAAGATCAAATGTATTTTATAACACATTTATACTGCCCAAGGTGCTTCAATCCACTTTTATTTCTTTGGCACTTTCTACACAACTCGTTGCCCAAAATGCTGTACAGTTAAAATAAAAAGCACAGGTAAAACACTAAAAACAAACCAATAATAAAACATATCACAGCTTTAAATAAACATGGGTGAAACAATTAAAATCATACAAAATCATTACAACTTCAAACAAAAATGAGTATATAAATGGTAAACAAGAGTGAATGTTCAGCAATCAAGTCATGTTAAATTCTACTGAGCAGAGGAGCGTCTTAAGAAGAGTTTAAAAACCTTGAGCGAGGAGGTCTGCCTAATGTTGACATGCGGCTGATTCCATAGGATAGGAGCAACCACAGCAAAAGATCTAAGGCCTTCACAAGTTAAGACGCAGTAAAAATAGACAAAAATCATGCAATACCATTATATTAAAAATATAAAGATAAGAGATTAAAAGTGAGATATAACCTAAATTGAAAAAAAAACCAACCTAAAAACAAAGTATAGTTCAAGTGTTGATAAAAGCCAGTTTCTAGACACATTTCTCTAGCAGTGTTTTAAAGGTGTGGTTCACTAATTTAATCATTATACTTGCAGTGGTTTCTAGGATGACTGCCTCATGCTCTGGGGGAAAATAAGCTCCAGTGCACCAGGTTCAGGAACTAACAGAATGACACATCACAGCTGAGCTTCAGACAGCAACATTTGAAATCTTATTTCCTGATATTTAGACATGTCTCCTCTGATTGGGTAACAGCAATGTGGCTCTATACTGACTCCATTTGCTCTGCAACATTGATGTTTTATCTCCACAAATAACACAAGCTTGGAAAAGTACTGTTGTGTGGTGGAGTTGCTAATGCTAACTATTAGCTTCTACTAGCCCAGACATTCTCTGCCGTTTTCCTGGCTGAGTCCATAAAAGTGACAGTGTGACGAAGATCTGTCAGGATTTTCTAATCCTAGAGTTTCACAGTCTATTTTCTATCAGAATCTAATGCACGAGATAGGTGTAGGAGACTATTTTCATGTTCAGCCTGCATTAAAAACCCAGAGTGACAGATTATAATCAGAAATAGTCATTAAAACATCAGTTAACCACACCTGTTAAATTTGCTCACATTGAGCAGACTTGATATTGAGAGACAGACTATTCCACAGTTTAGTGGCAGTAGAGACCAACATGGCTGCACAAAAAGATGTAAAAGGTGAGTTTTGCAGAAAATGTCCCCTTTAAATTATGCATTACAATTTATCATATGGTAGTTCTTAGAAATGTAGAATCAAAAATATCAATTACAAAAAACTTATTCAAATAAAATAAAAACTAGCAAAATCTATTTTGCACAATGCTCAGTTGACAACCTACAGTCAGAATGTATCTAGATCATCACGTTTAACTCGGGGTTGTTGACATTTCATCAGAAGAGCGAACATCCTGCTGTGTCATTAACATTTATCAAGCAAAACAAAAAGAAGAGACGAGAATGGGAGTGAGCTCCGTTTGTAATTAAATTTCACCGGTGTGCATCTATGAGCTCTGCCTGAGACTTAGATAAATGTAACACAAAATAAAAGATGAGGTTTTGAAAAATAGAGTCAGCGTGGCTGGTGGGAAGACTTGCATAAAGGATAGCAAGTAATCCATCTCCCAGAACATTTATCACTGTTATCCATGTCACCCGAGGACTCCTTTGGCACATGTAGAACAATTTTCATATTACTGTTTATGTGCAGGAGTGTTGGACTGCACAGCTTGTCCTTTTGACTTTTACACACATACACAAAGGGATGAAGAATCTCTCTAGACATAAATAAACACACATCTTTGTATGGGACAACGTTGATCTGCTTTCCTTCTTCATGAACTCGGGTGGTGGCACTGGGAATTCAGCTACTCGTACTATTTAGGCAAATTGCTGGTTGTTTTATCCTACAGTAGAAAAACTTTATTCAATGAGATGAGAGGTTTTCTCTACAGACTGCCGGCAAAGACTTCAAAGAGTTCAGCAACATGGGAAAAATGCCTTGTCATCATTGTGTGTCAAGGCTTCGAGACAGAACACAATGTGAGGGCATGATGAGGGAGAGAAGGAGTGACAGATTGAACGTGACAGGTTGACAAATGTGTCCATGAAAAAAAAGACACCATGGTGGGGAAAAAAAGAGGTAGGTGGATTAAAAGTCTGGGAGGTGCTTTGTTTGCTTCTCACTGGAATATGAAGGTGAGCATGACTTAATGCATAGATTTAATTTGAGATGTTTGTGTGCATCAAAAAAAAGAGACAGCAGGTTCAAGAGTTTATAACCATTCATGTAAACAACTCTTCTCTGCACCTTTAGTTTTTTGCACATTTAAACGAACACAGCGTTTGAAAGTGGGAAGAAAAAAAAAGCTGTACTGGTTGATACTAATGAGTATTTGCCTACAGATGAAAATGAGTGTTAATAGGACACTTGTGTTTATTCCCTGTTCATTCAGGTATAATGTATAATTCAGAGGTATAAACAGGGAAATGTGTGTATGCATGTTACACAGGGATTGTGGCTTGTGCCCTTCTATTCAAATGCACATGACCAGGACACCAGCAGATCCTGCTGCCTCCACACACTGACATCTCCCTGGCTCGGGTCACTCCCCTGACATTGTCCTGGTGTCAGATCAATCTTGATTCAGCCAGATGTCACATTTGCTTAGGCACACATCTCTAAACGGAGGATACACAAGCACCCCCCCCCCCAAAAAAAAAACAAACAAAAAAAACAAAAAACAAAAATAAGAAATAAAACAACAGGCCAGCATAAAAAAGACATCCTGACAAAGCAAAGTCATCACTGTAGGACACGATGACCACGATTTCCCCTTATGTTTAGGGGACATGATTAAATAAGGCTTACAATAGTTTTTTGACTCATACAACATGAATAAAATTCATTTTAATCAGAAATATTTTCTTATGACTTCATTATTGTCAGGATCTGGGGTGAGTCTGCACATTCAACTAATTACCACCAAGTCGTTGCAGGTGAGCGGTGCCGGAGAGTGGCCAGCTGCGGTGTGTTTCCCGTCACCTGCCAGGGTTTATAAGGAGCTGGGAGATCACTTCACCTCGCTGGAAGATTACTCAACTTGGGTAGTTCTGTCTTGCCTTTAGTACAAGCTACAGTTCTTGTCACAGTTTATAGATCGCTACAGTTATTGTTATCTCAGTCCTAGTAGCTACAGATGGTGTTTGTGCTCTTAATGAGCATAGTAATCATTCGCCCTGCTTTCCTCAGGATCATCTTCAGACCTGCCTCATCCAACCTCAGCCATAATCTGGAACCGTGCTACAGATCTCCCTACTCCTGGTGGACCCCACCGCTCTCCTCCGCTCACCTCTTGGATCACGCCCCAGTACCAACACCTCTGCCACAGCTCACCCCAGATCTGCCCAGACATCAAAGCCAGCTTCCTACAGTAAGACTCCTCCGAAGAATTTATTCCACTTCAGCCACAAGATCCTCACCTCTGTCTATCCTACAGACCCCGGCCACCGGAAAGAGTGCTCTGCGCCTTTGCTACCCATCTCCACATGTTGTGGTGCCTCTTTAGTTCAGTTAAAAGAAATAAAATTGTATCTTATTTTTTCCTACCTCTGTCTCCGAATCATTCTGCATGTCTTGGGTCAGGAAACTCCCCTCAGTCATGTCAGAATCTTCCAGCCATACTCCTGACTCTGCAGAACCCCCTTCCCCATCCATCTCCGACACGCTGGCTCTCCACGACCGGACCTTACAAGCCCTCATGGAACAAACTTCGGCCTCTAATCAACGTCTCCTCCATATGGAAGCCCTGCTTCAAAACCTGCACAGCAGTCAGCCCCCAGTTACGGAACCTCCGGAACCAGGAGCTCCACCCGGGGCCGTTGCTCAGGAACTCCCAGCTCTCCAACACTTCCGGGCTGCCCCCTCACCGCCTGCCGACACGTTTGAGGGTGAGTCCTCTGAATGCCAGGGTTTCCTGCTTCAGTGCAGGCTAGCCTTCGGACGTTCACCTCATTCATTCACTACAGACTCTGCTCGCATTTCATATGTTGTTGGTCTGCTACGCGGGCGAGCTCTCCGCTGGGCAGAGGCTAGGAGCCATGGTGAAACATTTTTAACCGGCTCTTATTCTGAGTTTGTTAAGGATTTTAAACTAACCTTCGGATGTGAGGAGACACCTGGTGACGTGGCACATAAGCTGCTTCATTTATCTCAGGGGCGGAGATCGGTAGCTGAGTTCGCCATAGACTTCCGGACCTACGCGGCTTCCTCGAGCTGGAATGAGGAGGCTC